AATATTACGTGAGTTTAGTGCACACCTAGTGACTGATATATTTTATGTAATGTATATCTAGTTCTTAAGTATGAAATGACCAAAATTTGACATCTCTATCAGTTTGGTCTTGCCATTTAAATTACATATTTTAATTAAACATTTGGTACAATTTGATTAAACATACTTGCATATTGGATAATGAGCCTATTTTGGGTCAATGGCACAATTTCCAAAATGTATAAAACCTCTAAAGATGTTCATTTCTTCTGCTCAGCATGGTTACACCCTATAAACCTGTTAGAAATATAAATTCTGCCATAAGTATAAAAAACAAATAGATAGAGACAAAAAGTTCTGTACACAATTGTGAGGCTAATTATTGCTACTTCACATTGTACTAAATGTATTTTTGTTTCCCAAGCACACAGGGCTTCAAACATGCAAAGGTCAAAAAGAAAAAGCATCTTATTATGCTAATGTCTTCCTGAGTAGTGTTCCTTGTGATGACAAAAAAGTTTACAATTGTTGTATGATTGTGTTATATCAGAATGTATCTCATGGTTGTTAAATGACATCACCAGACTTTTAAAAATTCTTTATAAGTTTGTTATACTGCATAGGTCACAGGTTCCTAGATATAAAAATCTTTAGGGTAATATTTTGAGTAAAGTCCAGTCATCGTACAAATCTCCTTTTTCTGAATCTTAATCTGTTAATAAGGATTAAAATAGTCATGTGTTGGGAACAAAATATAATCAATACATCTCTCTATGAATGACAAAGTTGCCTTGGCTATTCAAGACAAAAGTTGAGGCAGGGTGCAGCCTTGGGTTGGGCTTCCCATGCAGCTGTGACCTCAAGATAGTGCAGCATCACACACAGTCTGACCTCACTATCCTATGCATTTTTTCTGTTGTTTTTCCATTAATCTATCCCACAAAGGATACAAGGGAGATTTCAAAGATATATAATAAATCTTAAATGCTTATAAAGTTTTCAGTGTTTCTCCCCAACACATCAACTTTAGGTTTTACTTGATAAATTTGGGGTCAATTTAAAATATTTTAGAGGAATAATTTTTTACTATAACCAATGTCCCAGGCTTCCACAGTCCCTACTCACCCCTGTTCCAAGTGACTCCCACAAGGACATTCATAGGTCCCTCTTTCATAGGAAAAAAAATTCTCACCTTTTATTTAAATGACCAAAAAGATATGGACAGAGAAAGGCACCTGTGTAAGACATCAGAGAGACATCTCTCCTTTGGTCAACATATATTAGAATGTAGATGGAGCAAAGATATTGACACAGAATAGTACATATTTAATTTCTGGGCCACTTCATCAGCTAAGTCTGCCTGTTAAGAGGGACTTGTATTCCCTAGGAAAATGCCAGCCATCTGACATATCTCAATTAATGCAAGATATTTTCCAGTAGGCTTTCCTCTGTACATGGGAAAGTCTTCAAAATTTATCCTGGCTAGGGGATCCACTAGGAGAAAGGGATCTCAGAAAATATGCCAGAAGGCAAGACCTCCTCCCATTCCTTCTCAGGTGCTCACTGGGGCACATCTTGACTGTAGCCATAAGGGTAAAGAGAAATAGACTTCTCCCATTGCCTTTTAGAGGCACTGAGAGGAACAAGGAGGCCCCTATTGTGGCCATGAACAAAGGAAAGAAGACTCCCACAAAGTAAATAGTTCCCATCTCACTCCTCTGTGAGAATGGACAAGGGCACATTATGGCTGTTGCTGGTAGCACAAGAGGAAATTAGTCTTCTTCTGTCACTGTTGCAAGCCAGAAAAGGAAGTTATCCAGCAATACGATAGGGACCATCTCAAGCTTCTCACATTCTTTATGTGTTTCAGGTGGGAAATTTGGTTGTCTTTCCTTCCATGGGACCACCTTTGGACTGTATTCTCAAGAATTGGGAGAAATTTGGTCCTCAGTCCTTGAGAAACATATTTGATTTTCACTACACACAGTCATGGATAAAGTATCCATGTGCAGATGGTAAGACTTGGACAGTCAGAGAAACTATCAATTATAATATAATGATCCAACTAGGCCTCTATTGAAAAACATAGGGTAAAGGCCCTGCATGCCCCATGAACTGGCTTTTTTTACTTTTAGAGATGGTCCTAGTGTTCTCTCCTTTGAGAGATGGTAATGTTGTGTAGACTCAACCCCCTTACCAAAAGTCAAAGCCTCAAAATTCACTTTGTAATAAGGTGAGATGGCCAGCAAATATTGCACTTAACAATCTACAGCTCTTCTTTATGGTAAGGTATTCTATATTAAAATAAAAGTCTAAATATACTTTTTAAAAAGCAAAAAACATGGTTCTCATCTAAGTGTTTCAATATCATTGTGCTAAAATGCTGTTATGCTTTAGATTTCAACTGTCCCTGTAAAAATTTATAACTATTATCTCCTATGATTCTATAAAACTTTGATTTGTAAAGCAGTCACTGTTGTGCTCCCTTTAGTACTCATGTAACGATCTTCTGTGTGTTCTAAAACCAAAGGGCTCTAAGACCAAGGCTAAATATGTAACTAAGCTATGGGAACAGCCAATATTTTTGGCCTTGCCGTGCACAGTCAGCAAGGACTCAGGACATGAGGTAACATCTCTACAGGGTCCTATCATTCTGGTGAGTCACACAACTGTCTAGGAAGGGAGATTGTTATACCCCAGAGAACAGGATTCAACTAATGTACATTGTCTTAAAAGAAGAGTCACCAGAGAAAAAGCATCTCCCATCCTTCCGAATATAACCATATGGTCAAGTGAGACTATGACACATCCTGGCAGATGACATTGGAAGTAGAGTTAAAAGGCTCTGTGCGTGGTTCCAAAAGTAAACTCTGGGAAGCCTTAATTGATGTTAACACACAACAAAAGGTTAATTCTAATTCACACAATTCTTACTTAAAATTGGTCTTATACATCCGGCAAGACATGTTCGAGGCCAGTCTGGGCTACACATTGAGTTCAAGACCAGCAGGAACTACAGAGTGAGACCATGTCTCACACACAACAAAAGAAAAAGTCCAGCAAGAAAGTATAACCAACAATATATGAAGAAGTATAAATAGTAATTTAGGATAAATATGCAAAAGAGTTCCAAATCCTATATACAGGCCCTGCTGACAGTCTCCACCTGAACCTATAAATTGTCATAATTTATAAATCCATAATTTGTGGTTCAGTAAGGCAAAAAAGCCACAATCAAAGCTATAAAATCCAACGGTACTTTTACTTACTTACCTAAGATTGTCCTTCATTATCACAGGGCCTCCATCTTGTCAGGTTAAAAAAATTATATGTTTATAAATAAAGCTTGTTATCTTTAAATGAGTCACATCAGATAAAAACTTCTTTTAAAAAAATAAATCTTACAGATAAACTCTGCCAAAAAAGAAAGTTTTATACCTATTACTAGAAGAAAATATTACCTTTATGCCAATCAGTCTGAAATACTGAATGATGCAACAGAAAAACTAGCCAACTGTGCTTCAAAGATCACCAAAACTTTACCTGAGACATGGGGATCCTGGTTAAGAATCTGAAATAGACATCTTTGTTACTCCCCATAGTGGGTCTATTGTTAATGCTACTTGTAGCCTTGCTTTTAGACCATGTTTTCTCAACCTCTTAGTCAAATTTGTTTCTTCTCATTTGACAGCTTGAAAGGTAAAAATGGTGAGGCAGACAGACTGTGAACAGCCACTCTTCTCAGCTTCTATTAAAAACATCTACACAGGACTCACAGGGGCAAGCGCTGGCTACTGCTCCTGAACAATGCCCCCTCTGAGCAGGAAGTAGCTCAGAAGACACTTCATTGCCCATGCATCCTGACAGCAGCCACTGTCACTATTGTAGAGAAGGGAATGAAACACAGAGGTAAGAGAAAGTAAACAGTTAGGGCAGGGGACCTGAACAGTTAATCTGAAATAAACCAAAATTCAGGGCATTAGAGATTTAATATACCAAAGGACCCAAATAACTATCTTAAGCAAAATGACTATCAGGGCCTAAGAAAAAGCAAGAGCAAAAGAACAGGTCTCTAAACAAAAGGGAGAAAACTTGGAAGAAGTGAAATGCAAACACAGCTTGCTTTCCAGCATCAAAGGACTACCTGCAAACCAGGAGCATGCAGATATTATCACATTCACTCCCATTAAAAATTCAGGAAAGGCCAATGAATGGACTTAAACATCTATGGTGTCCACCTTATGGAACCCCTGCCTGAACAGCTGGGAGCTCTGCCTTCTATTTTTTCTGTTAATCATACACTGAATCATTCTCCACTGCTTGCTGAGTGTTGTTTTGTTTGCTTCAATCATCTTTGTCCCAAAACAAGGACATGGGAACTACAGAGGACTGGTCATAGTGTGGGATGCCAGGGACCAAAACCCTGAGGAAATTCATCACAGAGCAGCTAATACTGGAGACAACTGATCACCAGCTTGGCTAGGTTTCCTAGAAGCTGAGTGACTGAGTAACCTCCTTTATCTCTCAGGAGCTCCGTCCTCTTCTATAAGAAATAAATGATAATGGGCCCTTTAGGATTAAAATATCATTCAAGTAAAGCTCTCAGAAGCTTGTCAGAACAGAATAAGCTCTCCAGACTTGTGCAATATGAGTTTACACATATTACACACATAATATGTAAAACACTTGAGCCGAGTGTTGTGATTTATCAGAGATAGATGTGATCAGGCTATGTATGTCCTCAAATCATTCAGTGAGTCAAGTCAGCCACACCTCTGCCTCCAATTTCTCTTTAACTCAGCATATGGCCTCACTCTTGTCTCCTGGTGGTTGCTCTGCTCTTGCATATCAAGGGACCCAGACCAACAACACCTGTTCTTCTTCCTGCCACCTATCCAAATCCTTGTAGCACCTCTCACCAGCACAGCTTCCTTCCCAAGTGGGCACACCCAGGACCAGAATGTAAGGCTCCTTCCTTGCTCATTAAAAACCAAGGTGTAGTAGGCCAGCTTCCCAGAGCACTGAGATGCTGCTAGAGCTAAGTCTCTGAACCCAGGAAAAGGAACACTTCAGGAGACAGGTAACTACTGCTGCTCACCACTGTATATCCGGGCTTGAAGTAGATCTGAGGTCCTTGGTCCAAAGTACGTGGAACTATTTCAGAGAATTCTAGATGATGATTTGGTTATTCACTGTTCAGAGATAGCCCTTGAATCAGGCAATCATGAAGTGAGGAGGATTGTGACCAATGGATTATCACTGAAGTCTGTAATTTTCACTGGGATCTAAATGGGTGCCTTTATGTACAAACCCAGATGTCCTTGGATTGTTAAAAAACCTGATGAGGCTGGAGATTTCCATATGCAGGATCTTTAGGGATGCTTCCTTGGATAGAGGTGTAGGTTCTAAAGGCATATTTTGTGTCAGTTATGTAAGAGTGTCCAACATAAAGTTGGGGAAAGTGACTTACAAGCTGTGGGGATGGCTAGAGCAGTGATAGACACACACACCTTCCTTTCCTCTGAACTCAGAGACTTGCTGCTGTAGCAGGCCCTGGGTATGTTATGGAACTGCTTAACAATCTCAAATGCAATGCTGAATAGCATCTTAAGGCCATCACAGCCTGGAGAACCAGGACCAACCTGGCCAACAGTGGAATAGGAGCTTCTATTCAATTAGAGTTTGCCGACCTTGAAACATGCTCTTCTCATCTTTCCTTTCAAATCTACACTTGAGCCTATTATTAGGCAAAGAGTAAGGCAATGAGATGGGGTGTAAGGGCAGATAATAAGAGGTGGATACAATCAAAATAAATTGTACACATTGAGCCTTAAACCCCCACGTGAAACTAGTGCAGAGGGTAGATTAAGAGGCAAATAGAAGGAACATGATCAAAGCATGTTAAGTGCATTTATTAATCTACCAAAATGAAACTCATTTATCTGTACAACAGTTTTTTATATTTTTAAAGGAAATTTTTAAAATATGTGTATAGGAACTCAGGGAAGCTTTCTCTAAAGTTTTACAGCAAAATTCCAGCAGAAGGGGAGATAATCAGGTAATATGTTTTCCTTCTCTCCATGAATAGCGGCTGATAACCTCTTCTTCATCTCCTTGGGAATACCTTGTCCTCCACACAGAAAGCTCTGAAGTCAAATGAATCATACCAATCATCGTAAGTAGTGAATCACAACCCACCTTAGAACTCGCTCTCTGCCATTTCACCAAACACAGTATAGTGCAAGGGTCCCACTTCCTCCACTGTAAGTGTATTAGCTCTGGATAAAGTCCTCAGAAACATGTGTTAGAAAACTGTAGGGCATTTAATTATTTTACAATTATCAACATTTAGAATTGTTTGTTTGTTTGATTAAGAAGAGAAAGAAAAAAACCCAATATACTGGTGAGCAGTTTAAATAGTTGTGCTTTTGTTACTACACAGAGACTATCAGTCAGGTAAAGAAAACCCCAGGAGAAAAGAAATCTTGAAAATCTCTTGGGACAGATACTGTGCTTCGATCCTTGCTAGGATTTTCATCAACAAATCAGCCTCACCTTGTTTCCCTTTCTTTATCCTCCTAGCCAAATATTCTTAGAACTATAATCCTACCCAAAGAATTTTTAAGCTGAAAGTTGGAAAGTTAATCATAATTCCACCTGTGATTTGTTTTTTCTTGTTTACCTGACAGTTCAGGAGATTCCCAGATACTATGACATTCATGATTCTCAACAGATGGTGTGGGTCCTGAGTGGAAATGTATTACTATCAGTTCCATCTAGCAACAATGTCAACCCTGGTGAGTGGCATTTGACCCACTGTTGCTCCTGGAGGGACCCTAACTTCCCCTTGGATAGAAATAAAGCTACATGAGTCCTCCCTGGTCCTCAACAACTTCTAGGTACCAGCTCAATATCCAAAAGAAGTGCAAGAAAGGCCAAGATGGTTCCCTTTCACAAAGGAATCTATGCCTAGAAACAAGGGCTTCGGGAATGAGATCTTCCCTTACCAAAAGAAAGCATCTTCACATGCGAAGAGGTGGTCCTTGCAAGCAACAGCTGACTTCTTCAGAGTTTTTCTCCTTTAAATTACAACAATTATGACCTATATCCTTAGATTCAAGCTCCCTCATCTCTACCATCAGATTACACACTTGTCTGATTTGGTATCCTCTCTTCTAATAATACTTTTTCTTCTGTCAAAAGTCAATCACCTCAGCCTCTTTCACATCCTTCAGGGCCTCCATGTTGATCTAGTTTGTCTGTTAGCTGCATATTCCACCTGTATCTACTGGGCCTTTCCTCTCACTGACAGACATGCTCCAATGTAAAGTGTATAACCTTAATACTACAGACTTCTCTTGATTCTCACATTCTATTATATTACCATTCTATTTTCCTGTCTCAATCATAGCTGAATTTCATCCAGATTTCATGAGAGTGTTGGCTACACAACTTCTATCCACTTTCTGCTCTCATTTACATCAAAGCAATCTGATTTCTATACTGCTGTTCACTCCTGCTTGAACTCCACTTTCCAAAGCCAGGGTTGAAATACCCAAACTCAAAGAACACTCCTCTGATCTCATATATCTTGGCTCTTCATTCACACTAAGTATGATCAAAAGTTCTCTTTTTCAACACTCTCCATCTTCTCTTGTGTGGTTCACTGGCTTCTCTTTGGAGTTAATCTTTATGAGATACTTTCTCATGATAGTACTTTAAAAAAAGTATTTTTAGAAATCCTACACAATACTTCCATTTATATCTCATGGGTCACAGTTGAAGCACATGATCACATTTATCTGCAAAGTTGGTGGTATATTTTATTTTTGTATTTGTAAAGTAAGGTGCCCTGCTGACAATTGTGGTTCTGATATTAAGGAAGGAAAAGGAAATGGGTTTTCCCAACCAAGTGCCTCTGCCATGTAGCTAATGGAAGGAGCACACAGGGAGATGCCCTCCATGCTCAGCATCCCCTGGCTTAGAAGAATAACTGAGTGTGAGGTCAGAGTACTGCTTTCCTTCTGTTTGGAGCCTGACATCTTCATTTTTCATTGTGTTTCCAGTCACTCTTGCCATTATATCATGTAGACACACAGAGTTCAGTAATAAAGAAAAAGGCAATCTGGTCTACCTGGGAATCAAGGACAAAAACCTCAGTCTTTTCTGCACAGAAACTGAGGGCAAGCCTTCTCTGCAGCTTAAGGTGAGTGATGTCCAGCTACTGAGAGGCATGTATCAAATGGACTTTTAATGTCACTTCATGCATTAAAGAACTAAAATGAGAGCTTTGCAATCCTCAATTATCAATATGAGGAAAAGAACCTGACTTCCCAAAATTAGTAAATGCTGCCATTAGGATGGATACAACATCCAAGGAGATGTTTCTGAAAAGCCATGGAATGGTGGCTCCTCCATTCACAGTCCCAATCAACTGCTACCTAGAAATTCTCTAAGATAACGGGATGTTCCCACTTAAACAAAGGCTATCATGTTTGACAAATGGGAAGACAGTATTGTTTACTGCATTTTGCAGAGTTCATGTTTATATCCATGTGCTAAAAGGAAGATTTATAATTATGAAACTCATACATCTACTAATGATGGAAACTAGTACACAAGCCCATTTGGAACTTGATATTCCAGTGAGACTGACCTGAACATCAAGGTGAATGGGTACACTAAGCTCCCAAACAAGAAATAAAACTCCTCTCTGTCCCAGGGAAGAATCAGTAGCACCTTGGGTCATGGAACCTTAGGGTAGAGCCAGGTTACTCAGAACTATCACATGCCTGTTTAAAAAGCCTGATCTCCTTTTCCTTAATAACAGGCTCTTTTTCTTCCCCAGGAGATGAAGATCATGGACCTGTACCAGGAGAAAACATCACAAAAACCTTTTCTGTTTTTCCACAGTATGGAGGGCTCCACCTCTGCCTTTCAATCCGTCTCCTACCCTGGTTGGTTCATAGCCACCTCCTCTGTGCCGAGTCAACCCATCTTCCTCACCCAAGAGAGGGGCTTAACTAACAGTACCAACTTCTATTTAAATCCTAAGAATTAAATCCAGTCTGGGCTGTGGGTGGCCAATTGCAAGACAGAGGATAAATCTTTTATTTCAAAAAACAGTAACTCATCTTAAGAGACCACTGGACCTTGGTGAAGTCATCAGCATCTCAGCCCATCTACAGCCTATTTCATTCTGACTGTCCCAACACCATCTCCTCCTCCAGATACTCATTTCTGCACCGTGTCCCTCACTTGAATATATCAGTGGGAAGCCTAAGAGTCACTCTCATCTTTACTGAAATTGCCCCATCCTCTATTTTGTGACCAAGTGCACTTCAATCAACCCATGTTTCTTATGTGCACCCTTCTTCCCTTCCCATGTGCCATCCCCAACCCAAGAGGTGAGAAACCCAAATGTTCTTCTTCACACAATTGTATCAATAAAATATCATTATTTATTAAGTTTCTGTATGTTTGTTTTGAACATTATGACACACATCCCAACAGATAAATCTAAAGAACAAGATGAATGTGAAATCAAACATTTACACACCTTCATAATCAAGGTGCATTCATAATATCATAAGTTAATAATTTGACACAGAGTATATAATTTGGTTTTGATTAAGTGTTAAACATGGTGAGTGTAAATCAATTCATCTTCCAAAGAATCATTCAAAATGCATTAGAAACTCTGGAAGAACCATGCAAAGGGTTGAGAAAAGCTCCTGAGTGATGGTGAATGAATGGACAGGTGAACAACACAATAAATGTGTCTGACCTTACTGAAAACCATTTCAAACAAATAGAATTTTACTGCCTTAAATAAATATAAGACATGACATACTGTGATGCCTTGGGGAATTAAAACTCTTTAGAAGACAAAGTCTGAGCATTTAAATGCTTGACTTGCTAAATGGTGTCCAATTCCAGGACAATTTGATATCCTATTATCAATTATTATAAAATCTTAGTGCTTAACACTGAAATACAGTCAACTTCCCCAAAGATTTATCTGACTAAACATAAACACACACACACACACATACACACACATGCTTAGCACACACACACACACACACACACACAGAGTCATTGCTCTCAGTTTAAATGAGATCAGGCATCTTCTCAGAAGAAACTGTACTGTCATTTTACTTGAAAAATTGATTGCAAATAGAAGCATCAACTATGATTTTTCTTACTATAATTAGTATTTTCTGGAATTTCAATAGTTTATCTGATCTACAGTTTCTTTATGGGAAAAGTGTTAAGTCAGCTGTTTATTTTGTGAGTGTTACACTAGGTTAAAAACTGTAATATGGGTTGCAATACACTACGCAAGCTCATATAGTCTGTAATCATTATAATAACCTGAACATGAATGTGCACACAACAAAAACTATTTCCTCAGAAGAGCAGGCCCTCTTGGGCATGACAAGTAGAAGTATCAGGTCTTGATATCCATGTCAGTTCCTGAGGTCAAATTTCCCAGCCAGAAAAAATGTGTCCCAAAACCTATCTTTCTTGAATAATGTCAGGCTGCTTCACTGCCTAAGATGCTGATGGGGATACTCCTCAAATCCCCTCTCCTCATCCTCTTTCGCGCTAGCATTTCGGTACAACAAGCTTTGAGAAGGTGTCATCTGACAGCCTGTCATCTCAGCTGCATGGAGCACCCATGCTTGCTTCAGGGCTCTTAGGACACCTGTGGAAGGACACTTGCACCAATGTGCTTCAACAATGTACAGGACTAGAAGGGACAAAGAACTGCCCCATAGAGAGCCCTTGACAAAGCACTGTGGGAATGCGTATCCATCCCTCACTTTGACAATAATGAGTTGCACTCTATATGGTTCGCCCTAAAGTGTCCCAATGGTGAAACAGAAGAAGATGAGAAAAAAAATCTTTGAAAGACACAAGAGGTATCTTCGGATATATTATTTGCTGCTGTGTGTAGAAGAACATGATTTTTTTTGGCTTGGATCTAACCTAGCAACCAAAGGAGGAGATATAAGAAGACAGCCTTCAGTTGCACGGCAGGGCTGAACTCAGGAACTCCCTCTGTTGTCTCCTTCTATCCCTGTTTTAATTCCCAAGCACCCTCTCCTGCTTCCTGGAGTCACTTCTCATCACCCTAAATGCAAACCCCAGTCTCAGGCTCTTCTTTCTGGGGAGATAGATTCTATCTCGACAAACTTCTTTACTACCACCCACAACATGTGTTTTATTCCCTCTATAACTCTGCTTTTCTGTGACAAATATTGCCAGCACTTCCATATCTGTGTATCCCTCCCACTTATGTCTTCTTAACAACCTAAATCTTTTCCAAGGATTTAGAGACATCTCCCCACTTTCCAAACCAGTAGCAGCAGCTTTGTCTTGAAATCACACCTTTATAACCTTCTCATAGCACACTTCTTTTATATGACTTTGTGTTATTCTTGCCTCTTATATAAGTTTCTCAAAAACTATTGTAGAAATAAATAATTATCATTACACATATTACATCTTCCCATTGATACCAAAGCATATCTGACAGGATCTGGTATTAACAATTGCAGAGAAGACCTTCAACTTTAAGAAACTTTAAGAAAGGAAATTCCAAGCTTCTCAAAGCACATGGAACAGGAAAGTAGGAAGAGTTTTCAGGAGTTTTCCAGTTTTAATTTGTCCTTCTCTTTCCTCTATGGCAATTGAATCCAGAAGCTTTGAGGACATTATGATGTGCACAGCAGAGTGGGTGGTTGCAGATACAAAGCATAGCATAGAGGACCACCCAAGGGCCACCAGCAAGTGTCCACTACCTCCCTCTGAGAAGCCTCTGGGCAGAGTGTGAGGGTTTGCACTGTGTCTACCCCAACCCCCACCAGCCATGCACATATAGGCATCCCTGCATGTACAGCAGTGTGTAGGGACATAAGAGGAAGAGCCCAGGGGATTCACTGTTGCAATTCTTTTCTCTGGCAAAAGTCAGAAATCTGTACAAGATGACAGCAAGGATGACCATGAGAGACTTGTAATGACATTACAATTGAGCACATAGTAGGCAGGGTGTTATGGTTGATACACTGTGTCAACTTGGAGAGTCTAGAGGTTTGGCTAAGTGACTCAGCATCCTGGGGTGCAAAGTGCCCTTCCTGCTCTAACATGTTGTTCATTGTGTCAGTGTGAGGAGTTTAGAAGGTTAACTATATAAGTGCTGCCCCCTGGGCGGGGGTAGCCTGCTTACAATATAAGATAGGGAAAGAGGCTTGCATGCACTACCACTCCTCCCTTTTGTGCTTGTTGCTTTTGCTGTGTTGCACCACCTTGAATGGTTGCCCTCTGCCATGTGCCACCCTGCCTTGTAGCCAGCCGAGTATCGACTGAAATCTCCACAAACTATAAGCTAAATAAACCTCTCCTTCCTAAATTTTTGGAGTCAGATAGTTCGTCTCAGCAACAAGAGAAAAGTAACCAAGACAGAATTTGGTACCAGGAGAAGGGTTGTTGCTGTGACTGTACTTGACTATGTGGTTCAAGAGCCTTTGGGAATGGCTTGTGGGAAGAGTTTGGAAAGGTTCAGAGATGTCACCTGAAAGAGTAGAGCTGGAACACCTTTGGCTGTTCTGTTTGGGAGATTCTGGTCAGAGCTCAGAAGATCAGAAAGCTGATAGAAATCCTGCTGGTAAAGACCGGGTTCAGGAGGTTTCTGCTGAGAAGAAGGACTGCATTGGTTACTGGACTCCAGATGATGTGTGTTATGGCTTCACAGAAAATTTGTTTGCATTTTGCTCATGTCCAGAGACTTTGCCTAAGACTGAAATTAAGAGCGGCAGCAGACTGATTAATCTGGCAAAAGAAATTTCAAGGCAGTCAAATGTTGGGGAAGTGGCATGGCTATTGTTGGGGGCTTTTAGCCAGCTTTATGTTGAGAATCAAGAACAAAGAGCCCAGCAGGATGATTTAAAAATGTTGTGAATTTGGCCAGAAAGGAAGTTCCAGTAAAGCTGTGGACTGCAAAGATAAGGCTGAAGAGATCTCTACTGCTGAGAAGGAACAAGAAAATGGAAAAGATGGCCTGAGGGCATCACAAACAGCAAGTCTCCACCCTTTGCAGCCTCAAAACTTCAAAGGTGAAAGACCTTGCCTTGAGAAGGAAGCCGCAGAGCGCCATGTTCCAGAATGGCGGTGGCATAGAGAATCTGCTCCTCAGAATTTGATTCAGAGTGCCCAATGAGGGGTTTGGTAGTATTTGGGAAACAAACTAGTCCTTCCTCAAGTGACACAATGGAAAGCTATAAAAAAACCTTCATGATTCCTTACAGTATCTTATTAATCTGGGTCAAGTACAAGCTATCCAACTATATGGAAACAAAATCCTGCCAACTCCTGACCTAGAGGGACCACCTCGTATCTGTCCTGGAGACCAAGTACTTATTAAAACTTGGAAAAGAGGAACTCCTACAGGCCAATTAAAACCAAAATGAAAGGTCCCCTTTTCAGTGATCTTTACTACCCTCACTGCAGTAAAGGTATCAGAGATAGATGGCTAGATTTACCTTTCTAGAATAAAATCAACCCCACCTGAACTGTCTGAGGCAAAGGACCACCCAAAAGAAGTAAGCTACTCCTGTGAACCTCTGGAAGATATGAGGCTCCTCTTCAAAAACAAGATTGCAGTACTGCTCTGGGTACAGATAAGTAGTCACTAATGATGCCTGATCCACCATATCCGAAATAGGCACCTGTACTAGAACCTCTGATTTTACTTAGCTTCATATTCTGTGTTTGTCTTTGCTAGGGATACAGCTATCAGGCTCTTCATACTTTCTCTTATATCCCTCTTCACCATGTTTTCTTCTCCAAAGAAAGCATGGAAATAAAGCATCTCAGAAAACTTCTCCCAAATAACATCATGGAAAAATAACGTCACTGGTTGCTGGATCTGTCTTAATCCACCATTGAAGACAGACCAGGAAATATTCTCACCTGCTTCTCATACTTGGGCTCTGCTTCTTAAAACTAGTTGTAAAGTTTATGCATTCAAGTCTTCAGTTGATGATCCAGACCAGGACTCTCCTGGCACATTCGCTAAGCTTTTTCCCACTCAGTAGTGAGATCAGCAGTTCTTGGTATATTTGGACTAATTGTCTTCTCATGGTCTTCTGGCAGGTTTTTTCCAGCCCAAACAGTGAACCTCAATATTCTAAGTAATCAGAGAGCACAAGATCCCCAGTAGGTAGGGCCTGTAGCTCCTTCAGCAGAAAGCAGTGCCACAAAGCAGACCTCCACTGCTTCAGCATCTCTTAAAGAATTATGAGGATTATGTCTCTCAGAGAAAAAATGAGGTAGGAGGTCAGATTTGGGGCAAAATAAGTCAAAGAACTAGGTATCTGTTAAAGTTACAGAAACACAGGACACATACACAGAACACAGGATCAGGATGCTCTGTAGTTTCTGAGT